GAGAGAGAGAGAGAGAGAAATGGCACAAAAAAAATTTAATTAAGTCAAATCCCCTAAAGCAAACTTACCAAGAGAAGCTGGAGGTGAAAGCGTTTGAACCTGAACAGCCGAATATCAAATTAATCAGATCAACATTGATTAGCAGTCCAAGGATGGATGGAGACTCTACAATCTTTTTCCAGGACCAGATTTAACTACAAGGCTGGGCTAACTGCATGCAGATAGGCTAACGCTTTATTCTGCTTTGCCTGCCTTCTTTTTCAAACGTTGAAAAGGCAAAGATACATGAACAATCTGGGATTCACATGGAAAAAAATATATTATAGTGTACTTTTTCGTTTGTTAGTTTGCATAGTTGCTCTTCTATAAACACATTTTTAGAAAATAAATAATTTTTATATATCAAACAAATACAAAACTAACTAATAGCTTCTCCATTATTTAACAAATATATCATTTTTTTTGGTTTGTGACACTATCCTGGACCATGTAAAACACAGATTTTCCTTTACAAAGAAAAGGGCAACATTTATGCACAAAAAGTAAACCTGTACATCAAATGATGATTCTGTTTTTATAAAAATGTTTTTATAATATTTTTTGTTTTTGGCATTGTCTACGACGACGGAAAATTTAGTTTCTCTTATTTCATAAATGAATTTATTCTATTTACTCCCTATAAAAGTTTTCACTCAGCCTGTTTCTACCTCAAGGCCACACAATTCCCCTGTGTGAGGGTGAAATTCATGGATCTATTCCTTCTCCACCCCATAGAACCGCATAGAGTCAATATTTTTAATTTTTCTATGGATGTGTATATTTTTGTCCAACAAACTCTTTTGTGTGCACAATGTTGGCAAGACTTTGACAAAAAAATGTATTTTCTTCTTCCTAGTTCTTTCTGCATTCCTTCTTCAAATTCATAGCGACTAGGAACTACAAGGTTGTTGCTGCCTTTGTATTTAGCTTTGGTTGAATACATTTGTATGCTTTGAACAGTTACCATAAATAAGCATTGAAATGTTGCAGCATATCATATGGTAGGAAACCTCAACCAGTGAATGTGCTAGATAGTGTCACCTGTTCATCCAGTAACTGGTATCTCTATACAGCTTTAGTTAATCAGGTGGTAATTAAATACTTAAAACATGTTAATATTTTAGTATTCAGTA